GAAGGATTCATAATCTAGCGTATCAATTAAGTACTGGAAATAGTCTTAAAAAGTATCCAGTATAATCCAGTCATATTTCACAGATAAATCCAATTAAAGTCAGTTTTTTTTAAGTTGATCACATTGTGATATGGAAGAACTTGGATCTTTTGATTTCCCAGTTGAGTAGGTAAATTTTTTCTACACAATTCATTCCAATTCAGTATATCATGTAATATTCTATAGAAAACAGGATGCCCAGCTCTTCTGTAGATTTCAGATATGGATTTTTGGAAGGCATATAAAATGCCACATCAGAGCAATTCCATAACCATTTTTCTCAGTGGATAATATACATATAAAACATTGTATTACATGTCATATTTAAAGAGGCATAGTAAAATGGAAAGTATCCAGAGAAGGGAAGTGAACTGGTAAGATCACAGAACGCTTTAACATATTTGAAAAAACTAGAGAAACCAGTTAGAAGAGAACACTTCTGGGATTAGAACTGTTTTGAAAGGAAGTAAATTTCTGGGTAATAAAGAGACACATACTTTCTGGTCATTAGAATTTTCCTTAAATAGAATGGACTGCCTTGTAATGTGGTGAATTCCCAGTTAAGGAGAAGGCCAAAGACAGTCTCTTGAGAATATGATAGCGGTGAGGCATGATAATTTATCTGGATAGCTTCAGTCGGCTCCAAACAGAGATCTCTTAATTCACCTCTGTAACTGGAAATTCATTATATTTGGGTAATATCCTCAAGGTAAATCACAATAAAGCATACAAGCAAATGTTACTAACCACTGTTGTCTTCCTCCCTCTGAAATTTCCATGTATTTGTACTGGTGAATTAGGTGTGTTTCTGAAAGATGAACTATATGTAATCTAAGTTTCTTATAAATTCTGGGTGTCAAAAGATCAACTTTAGATTCTAGTTCTGTCACTGAACTATTTATTATAACTTTGGATAGATCCCAATTTCCCTAGATTCCCGAGGAGCTCAGGTTTGGGGCAATATTCCCTACCTCTCCTAGTATTTTTTAAACATGTTGGTTTGGGGAGTCACAATGACTGGGTTGTGCTATGGTGTTTACTGGGCGAGACCCAGGGATGCTGAATGCCCTGCAATGCCCATAAAGCATCCCTGCCACCCCCATCCTGTTCTGATAAATGTTTATTAGAGAAATTATAAATTCTTTTTCGGGAACAAATTTTGTGAGGTCTGTTAAATGTTTTAAGTTAGCAACAACTCTTCTTACTTAAAAATCCTTCTTCCCTTTCCTAAGTAATAATATAGTCCCACAACCAAACACTAACAATATAGGATCCCTACAGAAAATTTATAATAGGCTAAGAAAAACAAACTGTTTTTAATGCATGGATGTCAAGAGATTTGCATCAAGAAAATTCAAATAATTAGATGTTAACATTCTATCTACCCAAGACTCCAATAATGGAGATACAGGTTTAGTTCTACAGCCCTTAGTATTTTTCCCATCTCTAATTAAACAGACTTCAGTATTTAGTTAGTCATTAGGTACATTTTCATCAAAAGAAAAATATTACTTAAAACAGCTACCAGGAATATTTGATTTTAAAGGGAAAAGGTTAATCAATGTCTAAACGGTTAAACATTTTAATAGACCTCTATTGATGCAAAATATTTAACTTTGGTGAGATGTGCTGAACACTTTGGCTTTGAGACTTAATTATATATACACATATATTTTACTCCTTCAATTTTATTTCTTGTTATTTTAGGAAATTTTCTTTCTCATACATGCACACACCACCCCACATAGCAAGTTTTGAAACAAAGTACCAAAACCAGCATATACCTGGGTTTTAAGCACCTCTGACATTTCCATTCACATAATGTCTATGAACAGAATTGTTATTAGGAATTTAAGGATACTATGTTTTTACCACACTAGACTGTTTATTACTTCCTTTAAGACTCAAAAGATGTACTTTTTAGCCCAAATCTTTGGTTCCAACATTTTACTTCCACCCAATGTGTTTTTGCCCCAGTGATGCTATTAGCACTTACTTCCAGAAACAGAGGCTGCTAACACTCTTTTATATATCCTTCTACATAAACAATAAGGACAACAGCATTACACAGAAGATCAGTTCACTGACTATTAAGTGATCTGGAGATCTTTCATTCTGAAGAACAGGATTATAATTTTTTTTTGTTTTCACTAGGGCTTTTAGTGGAAAACAGCCAAAAGACTATAATTACATAAAATAATTTTACAATGTACAAGGAAATGTTTAAACTTGAGAATCTTCATTTTACAAGTATAAAATCTCTAGGAAAAAAGAATGCTTAAATGAAATAATTTAATGTCCTGCATAATACTCAAGCATCAATTTTCTTTAAAACAGGGTAAAACCATTCCTAACGATTCTTTAGGAACAAACAAAAGCCCTCTTTTTCAAAGCTATAAATGTTATCAAATCCTTACTGGCACTGATGCCCTTCATGATTTGTTACAGATTACTACTAAATTCTCTAAAATAACATAAATGTCAAAAATGTAGAGTTTTTAAATGTTAAAGAACAAGAAAATCAGATAAAAAGGAGCCAATCCACAACAAATAACTCTCTGAATAATTTATTAACTTCATGTGGGATGTGAAGACTGGTAAATTATTCTAAATGTAATTATTCTAAAGCATTTGATAAAGAATAACAAATATAAAAGATTGGTGTTTGAAGGAGGTGAATGATAAAGTTAAGCTTATACAGAAGTTTACCTTCCAATCTAAAATGTCAAAAGATGTTAAGTCAACTTGACTTAAGCTAAGAATTGGTAAATACTTTAATGTAGATTTGGGAAATACAGGAAAGCAAACTCCACAGCCATGAAAGCAATAACCTACCATTTGTTTGTGTTTGCATGGCTCAAAGGGTCAGGTCATAAAGGGAGATAGTTTATATTTTTTGGCAGAGATAAAACAATCCACTATAGAACTTCAGATTTCAAGGAAAACTCGTTCATATTGAGCAGCTAACAGCTTGTCTCTATTTGCTGTCACTCTAGATCAGAGAAACCCATTTTTTTTTCCTTTCCTGCCCCCCTCCAGTTATACTTGAGCTCTCTGACTGAAAAGGTCTGGAACAGATTAAAAGTCGGGCCACAAAATAAAAAGCTTTGGCATGTTGTCAAGCCTGTCTGGAATACACATACACAGTGGGCCCAAAAAGGGAAACTAAAGGCAATAAGAGAATTTCATGAAACTTTTTTTGGCATATCTAATTATATGCTTGTTTGTACATATGTGTTGGAGGTAGGGAAGGAAACATGTTTTTTTTAGTAGTTTCTCCTATTTAAAAACAAAGACCAAATTGTGTATAATTAATACATCTACTTAGGATCACAGCCAAGTTACTTCATTTCACTGTTTTAATGGAAAATACTTTTAAAAAAAGGTGGGGGGCTTTGTTCCAATTCCTGATTTCTGCAGTTGGCTAAGAGTTAATCATAATTGTTCATAACTTTATGCTGGGGGACGGTGGGGAAACACTATCATTTAAAAAAATTTCCAAATGTGGACAAGCTGAATCCATTTCATTAAAGATAATTTAAGGAAACATGTCTGTTATCATTCCAGTCCATACAAATGGCAGCATTTATTAAATTCTCTACCTTACTTGGTTTCCTGTTTCAACCACGATGGCTTATTCAAATATTAAATAGAACCTGAAGTTGCAAATTATTAACATGCCACATTATTTTTTAACACCCAAATAAATACGTCTTGAAGCTCAAAAGGCTGCCAATTTAAACCAAACCAGTTATCTGTCAGTGACAGTCTCTGCCCTGATCCCACCTCTGACTCTACTTGCACAGGAGGATTCAGTCAGTCCGTAAAACTGACAAGTCAGTCTGTCTGGGGAAAGCCCCAGTGATGGGGTTTTTAAAGGCACACATACAGGCACAGGCTTGCTGTTCACAATGTCCTTCACCCAACCAACTCTGAGTAGAGGTTTTTCTTTCTTTTTTCCTCAGGATTGTGTTTTGATGGCACTCACAAAGTTAATTCCTCTTTCCCGTAAGGGCCCCACAGTTGTTGTTAGGTCAACCCCTGTAAAGCTTCAAAGGTTCCACATCCCCTCAGTCTGACCTGCTCTGTGATCTGCACATTGTTTTCATTTAGCTGCATCCAGTCCAAGACGAAAGCTTCAAAACCACAATGACCTACTCCTTTTTTAGATTCCATTTTTCCATGGCTTTGGAAAAATATTTCAGAAACCCAACTGAAGAAACTGAAAACGGTGAAAAAATATGGATAGAAACACACTAAAGAGCTTGTATACTATTATCAAAATGTGCACACTGGGAGGTGACTGTTTCTTTCTGCAAATGGTGATTTCGTCGTGTGACCTGGAGGGGAATACGGCTCTGCTTTTTTGTTTTCTAAGTGAAAAACAAAGAAAAGAACCTTGACTTAAAAAAAAAAAAAAAGCCAGAAGAGAAGTGCAGGGAAAAACATGCTTTCACTGGCCTCTCTTGGGTGATAGGGCTTTCCCCTCCCACTCAGCATGAAGACACTACAACACCGGAGCACAGAACACAGAATGGCACTCGTGGCTCTCCGTGGTCAAGCGTGAGCACACACTGCCTCACTGACAAAAGCTGAAGTTCCAGGTTTTGGATGCACCATAACAGTGTGATCATTACTGCACCTAGAAAGATCATTTTAAATAAGATCATTCTGTCTCCCAAAAATGTGAAAGGAACAGTGATTCTGGTTAGCCAGAACATTTCCCCAATTCCATCCTGAGGAGTCCAAGCTAAAAAGCTGACTTTTTAGAACTGAGTCTTTAGATTGGAATGTCTCAAATTTAAAGTGAAAGCTATAAAAAAGTACTAGAAAAGTTGGTGGGCAGTCATTTTTTAGTACTATAAAGCAATGCAATTTTATTTAAATGTACCTCCCCAAATTCACATACAAAAAAAATAGTAATCAAAAATATCTAAAAAGGTTTTGAGATGAACCTTTACCAAAACGAGGGTCAAGCCTTGGGTCTAGCCAAGAGGTGGTCTTGTTCTTATGGTTAATATAGTATATTTCTCCATCCTGAGTCATGGCTTGTTCCCATCCATCAGGAAGAGGACCTATAAATACAGAAAAAAAATCACGGTTGATTTTTATTTGGTGCACTTTAAAAAAGTGGGAAGAGTGCTAATTTAAAAAGAAACACATGTTGACATAAAACAAATCATTAAAACAGAATTAAGCATGTGTTCAGAGAAGAAAGGTAAATCTACATACCTGATTCTTCTCCACTAAAAAGAAACTACTAAATAAAATATACATCCCCAAAAACACAGATGGAAAAAAAAAGATTTTCCAAAAATCCTTTTGGAAGTCATGACCCAAATAACTATAAATACTATTAACCTAAGACTTGAAGTGCTGTAGCTCAGGGACCATCTCCAATCCAGTCAGTTTTGTGACAGTACCTTCCTAGGGACTCCAGGGTTCTTTAATAAGGAATACATGTAAGTGTTTTCAGAACATCTAAAGTATCATAACATTGTTTAATATAAAGCACACTTTAGATAAGACTGCCAAACTCCATTTATTTCCATTATTCATATGACTGGCTCACAACAACAAAACAATCCTAAAAAAGCTTATTTTTTTTAAGCAATTCGTAAATTGCTAGGTGGGAATTGTGGCTGGAAATTTAAATTTGTCAGGCTTGGAAGGGGGCAGGGTAAGTACTAAAACTGCTGGAAGGCAAATTTCTCAGGAAGAAAGTAAAGGTAAAATTTTAAGGCTATACAGTGAGAAAACAACATCTGAGTGATAGGACTAAAGAATATAGTAAGTCTAAGATTTTTCTATCTTTATGAGGGTAGAGAAGCTGGACAACTGCTTTTGGGAGGTAATAGCAATGAAAAAAGAGATCCAGAATAAATTGCTAAATTCAAGCCTATTTTCTTCTCATCTCCTTGTCTTCCCCACCTCCCTTCCACTTCCCATACCCACCAGGAGTTAGGAGAGGCCAAGTGTAAACTAGAAATAAGGTCTGAGGTAAATGCCTGAAATGTTTTTGTCTGTGGACCGACATGAATTGAGTGCTATGTGCCAGTCACTGTCCTAAGTATATTATGTACATTAATTCATTTAATCCTTACAACCACCAATGACAATAAGCAGTAGCGTCATCTCCATTCTAATGAGAAAAGTAGGCTACACAGTGGTTTAGTCTGGTACATCACAAAGCTAGTTAGTGTCAGAGATTATACTCAAACCCAGTAGCCTAAATCCTGAGCATTGTTCCTCATAACGACACTTCATCTTAATTTCTCACAGTCAAGACCTGAGACTAAGTATGCTTCCTGTGCAAAAATGGAACAACTTCCATCTTTCAATATAGGCAGCCCAAGCCAGCCTTATGAGCGATGCAGAGTAAGTAACTCTGGCTAAACAAACCACTTACACAGGCCCATGGAACCCAAAGCCCTAATTCTAGGCAAGTTTCACTTGTATCAGAAATAGATCAATATGCCACTATACTAATCAAAGGTCTGCTCTGATAGGGGCAAAATCCTGTTACCAAATGCAGCCATGTGAAATTAGAGTGTCAATACTCCTAGAAAGGCCGCAGGGGGACGACCTTTCTCCAGTCCCAGATGTGCAGTTCTATACATAATGCTAATCATGCCCAGAGCTGGAAACTGCTGAAGGGAAACCCATGTTTACTGAAAGGTGAATTGGGAAGCGAACTTGTTTAACACTTATAAATCAAAACACTTTCCTCAGTAGTTTTCACTGTCACTTTGAGCTCTATTTCTTCACCAGGAGAATATCCAAATCTGAATATTAATAGTTTGTTACTACCTTTAATTGTGAAGATGGCTCAATTGTAAAACGCTTTTGAAGAACAAGTTTTAACTAAAATTCTAAGTTCCTATGGTATCAAGAATGATGAACAAGTGAACAATAGCCCCCGGGTGCCTTTGGGACCCTCAATCCAACAACCCTAATAGATCTCTTTATAGACTCCAAACCCCCATACATGGAATCCCTGTTTAAACAGTATCACTCTCCACTTTAGCTGAGTCAGAACCAAAAGCTGTACCTTGGATGGAAATCAAATTTTCCTATCTGCTGCCCCACTCCATCCTGCAGATTCCACTTACATTCTCTCCAATGGCTCTGTTCCAGTCCATCTCCAAGAACTCCACCACCAATCATTAGCAGCTCTTTTCCTCATCACCAGAACTTCCTTCCTTGGTGCCTGACTTCTCATCTCCTCCTCTATCAATCATTTTCTACTTAAAGTACTACCTAACCAACTTTTATATGCCACTCTTTGACCTCAAAAAAATTTCCCTTGCAGTCCACCATCCAAAGTAAAATGCCAGCTAGACTCATTTCTTAAGGAATCTTCTTCACAGACTCCACCTCCACTTTTCACAAAATCACGCCATCTCCTTGTATGTGTTGCTCCTGTTATCACAGACTATCCTCTCCCCTACCTCTTAGAAACCTTATTAATCCTGAAAGAGAAAACGCAGTTGTCACCTCTTAAACTCAGCCTTCCCTTATTACCTCACATAAAATTATCAGTTTCCTTTTCTACTCTGTATTCAAACACTTAACTGCTAGAGCTGTAATTAGTTGTTTACGTATCTTTCTGGAAATGACCAGTTCACTCACCTTTTAACTTGCAGGCTAATTTCTGAGTAACTGCTCAATAAATATTTAATGTTAGAATAAATATTTAATGGAAGAAATATTCAATGTCATTTAATACTTTGAACTTTCTATGAGCTTAAAATCATGCAAATTTATTATTTTCTATTACTATGTCTATAAACAGAATAGGTGAATGACATGTCATTAAATCAAATACCTTTTGCTCCTTAAACTTTTTTCCATAAATGTATTCATTTTTACAGTTCACTTAACATTTGTAAAATTGTTAAAAGTAGCAGAAATACATAATGGGAAAAAAAGCACACGTTTCTTGTAACCTATTTCCCAGGGGAAAAAATGTACCATACTTGCTTTATTCACTTGATATATTATGGGTATCTTTTCTTGACACAACACATAGGTCTGTTTCACTCTTTTTAAAGGTGTCACAGATCTTGCTGTATGGATATATTAGAATTTATTTATCACCTTTCCCAGCACTAGACATCGGGGTTTCTTTTTTCTTTTTCTTTTATAAACAACAGTCCAACGCACAACCCCTGATGGTAGCGATCGTGGCAGCATTCTACCAGACTCAGCTCCATCACTACCACCACACAATGGCATGTCCATACTTCAATCTACAGTGGCTTTGAGTGCTAGGCACCGTTCTTATTCCTATCATACAGATGAAACAGAGACACTTCCAGAGAGACAACTTGCTCGAGGTAAAGATGTGAAGCCAGGCAGTCTGACTTCAGAGCTTCTGTCTTTAAACCATATAATATGCTGCTTCCCAGATATAAATACATTCCCCAAAGTCTATGCAGGTGTTTTATATACATTAAATTTGCAAAGTGGAAGAATGACTTTATCCCTTTATACAAGTTTAAATCATTAAGGACTTATCACATATATATCATATATTTATCAAGTATCTATCATATATAAATTATTCAACAATAGACTTCAAAAATCAATCTCAGGAAACTTTTTACCAGTATTGTTCTTATATAACATAAATAATCCAAAAAAACCCTCTAAATGCATTTATATTAGACAAAGATCTAAAGGAGAGACAAACCCCATACAAAGAAACAGTGTAGTGATTGATTTTCTCACATTTCTAATTGAAGAATTAAATAATGTGCTTATGAAACAGATAATTACTATACAATTAATGTTATAAGCAAATTTATGCCACAATATATATGCTAAACAGAAAAGAATATTTTACGTATTCATCTTTCATTTAACACTCCATAAATATATATGTATATAAAAACATAGTATTATATGGAAAGAGATGGTCCAGAATGTTTTTATATAAAAACAAAGCTACTGATTAAAGGCAAAGGAGGAGATGAGTAGAGATTACCTTTAAATAGCTCTGCACAACACAATCAAAACCTTAGTATCTGAAAAAGAAAACTAAGAAAAATAATCTTCAGCCTTAAATGTGAATTAAATGAAATATAGATCAGAGCTTTATTCCCACGAAAACATAAATTTAAGTTAAATGGTCTTATAAGAAATTCAGTAACTTGATACTTAAACCCAGGCTTGTAAGACATCATGTTAAACTGAGCTGTTTGTTAAACCAAGTTAACTGCTGAATAACCATGAAAAACAGAAAGCAAGAATGATATATTTTCTGAATCATCAAGTTGCACAGGCTAATGAAAGTTGTATTCAAGCATCTGTTAGGGCTAGAGTCAGAATGGAGTAAGATCAAAATCCAAGACTTCCACAAAACTAAATTTATAAAAGAAAACAACAGGGATAAATCAAAATAAACTCAAAATGCCTTTGAGTTCCATTTATATGCTAATTTTAGTGCCATAAATAGTGTAACTTCTCCAATATGGAGTATAAAAAACGAAGCAAATTAAGCAGCAACACTTTACATATAATGATCTAAAATAGTGGCTCTCAAACTTACGTACATATTAAAATCACCTGTTGGGCTTGTTAAAATACAGGTTACTGAGCCTCACCCTAGAATTTCCGATTAAGTAGGTTTGGGTTGAGCTTGAAATCCCAGATGCTGCTGATACTGCAGGTCTAAATAACACACTTTGAGAATCACTAACCTAAAATAAAACTTAGAATTTTTCAGCTGGTACAGAACTGCTTCTTAAATCTGACTTACATACAACTACAATTGTTCTCTGGAGTGTGAAGTGCTCATAGTGCCTAACAAACTCTCAAGCACTCTGTGCTTGAGAATGGCACACAGCCAGGTGTGCTAGTCTAAGATGAGGCAAATGACTCACATCTATCAGGGTAAAGCAGTCATAAGAAAGGTGATGCTTTTTCTTTTGTAAAAGGCTTGAATGGCCCATGCAACTATTATGGAGAAGTAGACCAAATCATTTCCTGTTTGTCCTTCAATGACAAGATGGAAATGAACAGTAGCCTCAGAGGTAAGATGAATTGATGTGATGGGTCCATGGGAACTATT